AAAAATATTCTCTAGTCTTATATACTTTCATGCAACACAACTTTCGTCACAACAGTTCATATAGTAATATTGATTGGTTCTTCGCAACTACATGCTGGTCGATATATCAAATACTCATATCATAAGGTTGTCACTTTTAAATAGGGTACCTGATAAGTGTGTTCTCATGTACGTAGTCAAGTGCATGAGTGAACTTTCAGGATGGTTGTCTCGTTATTTTGGACAAAATGCATAACTCAATGAGTTCTTGTATAAAATAAACTGAGTTTGCCCCAATGTAAAATAAACTGTTCACTAGAAAATGTAATAAAATCGAAACGCAGTGTAAAATGTTTTGTAGGAGGAAGTATGTTTAAAAAGAACTTCGACGAGTCAGGAATTTAATTAGAATGTTAAAGAACTATCCTATACATTTTAATTTATAATTATCATTAACATTTTATTTTATATTGGCAAAAACCTTAACATTAATTTTAAAACTATCTTAAAACTTTTATTTTAGAATGACAGAACTATCTTTTTCATTTATTTTTAGAATGGCCAATGAGGTTCCTAGATTTCAGTTTGTAATTTTAAAGTGACCAATGCAAATTATTCTTATATGTTGTTCTTTCTTGCAAATTGTACAAAAAGTTTGTGCTTTGGTCGTAAAAATGATTTTTTTCAAGTAAAAACTATCTGCTATCGCTTCTAATTGAGATTCTGTAAAAAGTGAAATAATTAGATATGCATTATATATAAAATAAACGTATACGTTACTTTTTTCCGGCGTTTCCATTGATAGCCTAATTGTTGTCAGTTCTGCAGATATTTTCATTACAACTATCCTGTACTCGCTTCCGATGTAACAATTGTAAAAACACCGATGCTCAAAAAATTAGTTAAATTTTCCGGCATGTTTTAACATTAAAATATATCAGGTTAAAACAAACGTGTGAGCATGTCGTTAAATGCTATCATTATAATCAAACTACATGATCTCTCTTATAATGACCAACCTATTTAGTTTATCAAACATCATATTGAAAGTTATAGTATGTTATCCTAGCTCTGCAATCCATAGAACTCTTTCATTCCAACTGTTAAGATTTGTGAAAAATCATCACCAGTAACTAGGAATGAATATACCGTTAAATGTAATTAATATGTTTTATTATCCACATAACTTATGCCTGAATGTTTTTCTGTGATTGGAGTCAATCAAGTTAATTCTTTTTTACCTTAAACCTAGACAAATTTCTATATAAGCCGAACACAAATCCGAAATAAACAGATAATTAAACTTTGTACCTGCAATTTGCAGTTTTTGAAAAGCTGTGTTCAGGAAAAGAGGTCAGATATGTTATTTGAATTTTCAATTATAATCAATTGTGGAAATAAATTTTAACATGATATTATACAAAATACAATATAGAAAACACAGAAAATGATAGAAATGATAAAATGCTTACGAAATGTTAAGTGTCTAGACTAAGTGTTTTCTCAGGGGTTAATGTGTAAGTAGAATCAGTGAGAACAAAGGGCATATTGAAATATTGGTAACGTTGTCTTCTTAGTGTATATGAATAATAAATCAATAATATGTTTAGGAAAAAAATAAAGTTAACTTTGCCAAGTACTTCGGAAATAACGTCAGTCTCCAATAAGTTTCGATCACACGAGTTCGTCTTTCTAACGTTTCCTAAGTATTTTTACATATAAAATAAACCACAAGGTGTAGCTTAATATGATTGTTCCGACTATAATCTTATGTTTTTCGATAAATTAAAGTAAGATATGAGTCACATTACACTGTTTAAAACTTAATGAAATAAAAGGCAAAACTAATTAACATCTTATAAAAGAATTAAGGATAAGAACTTACCTAAGTAATTAATAATGTAAAACTTTTTTAGCTAGATATAGTCCGCATTCAATGGAAACTGATTTTTTTTCGACAAGCCATAAATGCTTCCATGCAACCTTTGTGTGCGTGAGAAATGCCCATTAAGTAATAGTTATATTGATTGGTTCTTCGCATCCTTATACATGCTAGTCGATATGTTATTTGTTACTGAAGGACACGGAGAAGTATCTTTACATATGCAACGATATTCTTCTTCCACTCTTACCTTCTTAAACTTAGATTATAATGATAAGCTAAATATTTAAGTAAATAATAAATGAGTATGATTTAATTTTAATTGGCTGAATAATTCTAGAACCAATAAACGTAGAATATACACTTGCGTGTGTCGTAAAAAAATAATTTATTGTTTTATTTGCACAAGAGTAGCTCGAATAGATTGTGCTTCCCTTTCCTGATTTTTTGTTATTTCAACTGCATAATACATAACATAGTTTTTGCTTGTAAGATAGCTGTTCTTTATAACTCTGTTAATCTACAAAATGTTTTCCACGAGAAATAAGCAAGTCTAAGAAAACTATTAAAGTGTAACTTAATTGCACATGACAGATGTTTACAAGAAAACACAAATGATTAATGCATTTAAAATGACTAGTTTTTTTAGTTTTCTCTTCAGAGGATAATATATTTTAATGTCAAGTAGAGTATACATTAATTAAGAAAACCTACCCACTACATCTGCTAATTTCAGTCGATTTTTAAAGAGGGTTGTATACTAAATCCTAGATACGTGGTTTCTTATTTTATATCTATATATAATGTACTTTACACTTGTCAAAATTCACGCTCTCCTTGTAATAGGATACTCTGATAATAATTGCAATTGTTTATCAAGATCTTATCAAGGTAATTTACTGTAACAATATGTCAATATTATATAGAGGATATTTGTTTGTTTTGCATGTAAGATTGAAATATAATTTCACTGAGTGAACACCAGATGCAATATTTTCACGAGTGGCGTAGCCACGAGTGAAAATATAATAGCTGGTGTTCACGAATGAAATATATTTCAATCTTATATGTAAAACAAATAAATTTTCTTTTTATTTCATGCTTTTTTAGTGATTTTAAGTACTTTTTACTGATTTTGCCGCGTAATGTCGCGCACTCTCCTTTGTGACGTCATCACATCATGACGTCACATCATCAGTTTTGAAATTTAGTTCTGTTAAATTTCTCTAATTTTGTTACATTTTTAACATGATGTATGGTGACATCGACTTACTTTTCCTAAAGAAGCAAAATTTACGTATGACGGCATTTATTTCTGCCTGTTATTCCATTTAGTTATGATTTTCTTTTCATCCGCATTCACATATAGTTCGGCTACAGTGAAAATTATATTTTATAAATTTCACTAGTGGTTTATCAGAATATAATCATTTGATATATTACAATAAAACACTGGAAAGCATGAAATAAATGACTATAACATGATTCTTGCAAGCTTATATCGTATTTCTCTATATCATTATAATTCATTTATAAGTAAATGGCAAATTCATTATACTATTAGAAGATCATAGAAGTGATACTTGCTATTTTAAGACCATACATATGACAATATTTATGACATCGCTTAAATTATATGCTTTTCGGTGGTTAACAGAAATATATCAGTGAGATATAATCTGATAATTTCACTGTTTGAAACAGTGAAATTATCAATTTGATATTTTCACTGTTTCGAATTTAAGCCTGTTTCGTTGTGTCAGTGAAATACCAGGATAGCAATTTAATGACGTGACGTCGTAAATGACGTCACTTTGTATAATTATTTGACGCGCTTTTCATTTGGTACTAGGTTAAAATGTCGTTTTTAACGTTTCTTTGGAATAATCGGAATATCAACTTTGCCGTCATAATTCTATTCTTTCGTCGGATGATGTTCCAATTGTCGCATAATTTATAAGTGAATTCAGAGTATTATCAATGTACACAAGTAAGCTGAAATATAAAATACAATCTGAAAATCAAGTCGTAAATAGAATCATACAGAATCATACAGAGGGCAATATAATAATATATGCTTTACATTCATAACAATAATTTGACAGTCGTTTTCAATCTTTGTTTCACTGGCAAACAATTTCAGCGTCCTAGAACAATACCTATTTGTACGATTCCGCTGCGAAAGTTTCCTAATGTACCCTATGTGATTTATTCAATATTAACTAACACTAGTATTCTTCAATGTTTTAAACAATCGTAATTTGTTTCTTACAGTACCATTTCGGGGTGAGTCTTAATTAACAGTACAGTTAAAATGATGAACATAATCTCCCAATACTTAATGCAATATAATGTTAAACAGCTCTTGCTATTGTAGTATCGGATTTTCAGCAAAATCGTTCCATCTTATATTTTTAACAACGCACAGATTTGAGATTTCAATTCTAATATCTTTTACCTGACAAATTACTTCCCAATGAAAATCTTTGTTTATTTATCATGCTTACATTCATATTACTAAATTTACTCCAATTTGCTGACACAGTTTTCCAACAAAATATATATAACAGGCGTCCAACCAATATAGCCACAAACTTATTCATTTTGGAGAATATTTTCACATATGCATATGTGTTTACTTGTACATATGTCGCTTCATACCTTTTTGTATATGCTTAAGAGATACATAAATAGCTTTAGTTTGAGCAGTAAGTATTCCTGATCGAGTATGAGCAGCCTGAGCAACAGTTTTAGCTGTAATCAAGATGTTTGGTAAGTACAAGGCCAATATTTTTATACTGTGTAACATAGTTTAAAGTTGTATGTCCTATTCTAAATACATAGTTGCTATAAGTACAATATCATCGGCAGATAACAGGAATGTAACATTTTTATATTACATATTACCACTTATAACCTAAAGATGAAGTATTGTCAAAATGATTTGAAATATATTTGTTTTGTTTTTTCCAAAAGAAGGCGTATCGAACGTATCTTACACACTAGGTTTTGTCTCAAGTGATATATAAGGTATGAGGTGGCAATATTCTAAATCAAGTTTAAATTTAAGATAAAATGTTTGTTTCAGAAGACAGTAACTTTTTGACTAGCCTTCTACACATGATTTCAAGTTAAATATGTAAAATAGCGAAATAGCGAAAACGGAAGTCATTAAAGCCTACGTTTTCATTTTCATTTTGTTTCCCTGATAATCAAGTAAACAATGTTGTTCTCTGGAAGCTTGGTGTTTCTTCTTTTACTCTTAAATTACTCTTTAAGTCTGCCTTTAGCGAATGAACCAATGTGCTCAAAATTTGCTTATGACGAGCAATTGTTAGAAAAAATGATTAGGCAGGAAATAAAGGTAGAAACGATGCAGGATGACATTAAGAAAACGCAAGAAACTGTTTCATTTACGCTTGAGGAAATTAAGAAAACTAGTGTAGAGGTGTCTAAAACACTGGAGAGCTTGCAGAACAATGCCACGGAGGTGATGAAAGGGATCATCCGCGACAAAGAAAGAAATGAAGGTAATGTATTTATCTAATTATTACAGTTTAATTTACCTATTCTTCTACAAGCTTTAAGGGAAATTTATTACAACCTAATACCATCAACATTTGCTATTGTATTATTCTAAAGACAATTCTTTTATTACTTTGTCAATGGATAATACGGTTCATAGATAAGCTCGTTACAAGTAAACAATGCTATTCTAAAATCAATATACAGCACCGAATTGTCTTATGTTGATTAATATATTTGTTGAAAGTTACTGATTATATATATATATATTTTTTTTTTTTGGTGCGGTAGAGGATTTTGAGTAAATTCATACATGTACAATTCTAAATGTTTTGTATATAATCAGCCTAAAATTCCAATTAAGATCGTAATTGGAGAAAGTACCGATTCTATACATTTAGTGTTTCCATTTCAAAAACAACAATCATAATGCATGTAACTAATGACTACAACAATATTCATTGATACAGATTATATTGTTTAAATTTGTATACTGAGTGAAATCTACATTTCTTGTACAACAGCATTTACTTTTCTTGAAAATGTTCGTTTTTAATGTTTGTTCGAACAACTGTCAGTGATACCCACGTAAATTTTGATTTTATAGTTTCACCGATTGTTAACTCGTTTAAATTAATTATATACATAAATGAGTGGTAAATTTTAAACGTATATTATTAAATGTACTTTGATTTCCATCATGTATCATATGAACACTATACAGTTCATACTTTTTCAGTATATCTGGTTTAACTTATTCTTAGGCGTGTGCTAAGATACATTGACGATATAATGCATTATAAGCATGCTTTCCACGATTTAAATCGTGAATGGTGTTGAATGACCTATGTTTTGAATTAGTCGTCTAATTGGAAGAAGTTCAATTCTGTTTATCAACTAGGGCTTCCTTTTATGTTTGTTAATAACTGTGCATTGTCTTGTCGTAAAACATTTTAAAAATCGATATATACATAAACATTATGTATCCATATATATACATTATAATTCTCTTGAAAAGATATAGCATAATACATGTATTTCAAATAATTACATTACTCTTTGTTCATTAAACTAAACAAAAATGCACTACTAGAAGTGTTCGTTTAATACATAATCTGAATTATCTTTACATTTTGTCAATATTGTCTAATATTAAAACATTTTAGAACGATCATATACTGTGAGATATGCATTATACTAGATAGTTCTTAACATCAATGTTTAATGAAAAAATGTCTTCCCTAATTAAACTAGGTAATCAGAATATGATTTTTTGTGCGGTAAACAATATTGATAATCAGATACGAATTGTTGCTAACAATGATGAGAAACCCAATTCACATTCACAAATATCCATGTGACGCCAATGTGCTCTACAAGGTGTCTATAAATTTAGCCCGAAATGTCCAAAATCTGGCTTAAAATTTGAAGTATACTATTTTAAGAATGAAGAACCAAGATTTTGTTTAATTCTTGACAGAAATATTGAAAGCAACATTCGAAGAACAACGGAATAATTTCACAACTGATATGGAAGAAGGAAGGAAGATGTTAAAAGAACTTTCAGGTAAGATCAAAGAATATCAGCACATTAATCAAGTATTTTTCTTTTCATAGATTAAACGTAAAGATGAATGCGACAATTACTTACATTATCATTGTATATTCAAATAAATAATCATAGATACATGTATTAAAACTTATAAGTCATATCAGGATATGAGTTAGAATTAAGTTGTGTTTATTTGTTCTTTTGCTTTTGGAGAACATAAGTTTCTGTTTGGTTTTTAGAGTTCTATCCAAAACATTCATTTGTGTGGGTATTTCAATTTGACGTTTATCTTAATCCTTTTTTAAGCAAGTAAATGCAAATCGTATAATTTATGATAGAATAATAAACGTTATCCAACACATTTACTTTCTTAAATCTTTTCTCTGTCTTTCTTATTTTACAGAAAACATGAAGAAACCTTCCATTGCATTCTTTGCACACAATGTGGTAGATCTAAAGCTTGACAAGTTCGACAAAATCATCATATTTACCACAGCCACGACCAATGAAGGATCAGGATATGACACTTCCACTGGAATCTTCACAGCACCTGTCGGGGGATTGTACCAATTTATTATAAACTATTGTACATACACGAAGACACATTCACCTCTTGCGTTGGTACTATCAGGAAACGTGATGGCTCGATCGTCAAATTATGTTGCAAACGGCTATCCTTGCTCCTCCTTTTCTGCTGTAATAAGAGTGAAATCGGAAGAGAAGATATGAGTCAAAGGTTTGTCTGGCTTATCCAGTTATGCCTTATATAAAGATAGTTGGAGGATGAACTCCTTCAGTGGAACTCTTGTCAATAAGTAAAACATTCATTAACCTTACGCATGAAATGTAACAGGATTTTTTTACAAATACACGTATAATACATAAAATTCATATACATTAAAATACAAATCAACTAAGATTTATAAGAGACATATATAACCATTATCATATATAATATGACTTTTTACATAGAAAACAGATAAGAACTAGAATACTCCTATTATTCTGATTCATTTTCAAATTGCTTCAGAAGAAATAAAAGAGAAAATAGAAGTGGGATAATTTGGCAATATACACAACAACTTATAGAAGTTCAGTTCATTAATTTTGATTTCCTTTTGTATTATAATTTATTGGTATATAATAACTAAGTCTCTAGAGAATTAAGTTTTTTGACGCTTCTCATAGACAAATACAAAGTCTAAGAAAGTTACTTTTATATTCTACTATATGTACTATGTTCTGTTTTATATACGTAAGACTTAATGCATCATGATGGCCCTCATTAGCATTGTGTTTGTTTGTTTTTTATATTTATAGATGTTTTCAAAACGGCAAATGTTAAACTTTAACTTAATTGATTTCTTATCATCAGCTATATGTGCATGTATGTCTCAATATATAAATATCGTTTCGAAATTGGAAAAGAAAAAGGATATTCAATAGTTTATGCTATATCTATGTGAACTTATTAAAATACTTTTTGTGTTCTATGCGAAAGTGAGGTTTCATGCGGAAAAGTGATATGAAATAATTCATCAAACAGATCATTGGAGAAATATTTAATTAATTTGTCAACGGGAAAGATGTCCTTAAAAATAAGCACAAAGAATAAATATGAAGTGGATCAAATCTAGATGGTATCACTTTATACTGTAAATAAAGGGAAAGGAAATATAGATGTTTTGTTTTTCAAATAATTTGAGCACAATCAAAGGATATTGTGATTACCACAATGTGTGTCCTTTTCACTTGTTAAGGAATGTGTTATGCTCCATATTTGCACGCAAAGTCTTTGAAGGGGATTTTTAAGTATTTTTTTTTTATCAACAAGTGTCATACTAGAAATATTGTTCAATGAATTCTTTGAAAGTATGTTTTTTTACATACCGTAATTGATTTATTCCAAACTTTTCATATTAAAAACACGAACTTTGATTTTAAAATATTGGTGTTAAAACAGATTGCTATTAATATAAATCTTTTATATATTCTAGATGTCAAAAACCTATTTAGTTACAACTACATATCATGGAACTATGTTGTTAATTTTTCCATTGTTTCCTGATCAGCTGTTATTCAGACCCCAAGCTAAACCTATTTTAGCTGTTGGTTTAAACGAAATATTTCAATTAATTTTTCACAGTTTCAAACAGAAAAATGATTTAGTAATTTCCTAGAGTAAGTTCTCTTTTTCAATGTAATCTTGTCACCATAATGTAGCAGTGCTAATATTTTAACATTTAATCATTTTTTTAAATATTTATATTTTTGGTCATGATGTGCCTTTAATGTTTACAGGCATCATTGGTCTTTAATACTAGTGAAAACTTCTCACACATTCCAATATATTGTACATGTTTAACTATTTATAATCTGAGTTGACAGGTGTATGTTTTCATCCAATCAGATGAGAGCTCTATTCTTCTTATATTGTGATCACATGACCAGGTTTGGTGTGTAGTTTCAAAAAGTTTTAGAGTTAGAGAAGGTTGATATTTTGCTTTGCTCTTTGATAGTTTATTTTATATTTAAAGTGTTTGGAGGAGAATTGGACTAAGGTATTTATTCTTTTTGGGTTTACAGTTGGTTATCTATCTCTAGGTTTAAATGGTTTAAAATTAAATTATATGTATGTTTTTCATGTTTTATGGGTTTTATATGTCTTGGACTGATTCTTGAGTTGTTTTGGATTTTTGTGTAAGAATTTGTAATGGCGATGATCTAAAATACTATTTCTCCTATTCTTAACATCTTGCATGAATATAACCTTAATTTACAGCACAAGTCACAACACGGGAGGTCGAGTGATTTTTTGTGGAGGATATTTATAAAATAAAAAGAGGGTACTTTTTTTCACTCAAAAGGTTATAATGATTTTTTGTTTTTGTGTAAGTTATATACATATTTACATGTATGTAAATAGTGGTTTTAGATGAGTTTTTACTTTTACAAAGTGAAAGTGACAGGTTTTACAAGTAATATTTATAATGTTTTATAAAGGAGTAATTTTAATAATTTTTAAAAATAAGACTTTAAAGATTCTTTTTTAAAAATTGATTTTTTTTAAAATTTTATAAAAATTTTACCTATATTTTTTTTGTAATATATTTATGATGCCTTATTTTTTTTCAGGCCCATTCTGTTTTGTGTTATTTATTTTGAAATACTACCCGAAAAAAATATCTAGCCAAAAACCCTATTGTGTTGTTTAACCCTGAGACCTTAGAGGCCCAGCTGCTAGACTGGCGCCCAACGTTGTGATTGCTGATATACGAGGTGTGGATTGTCGTGGTACATCGGTGTGGATTGGCGTGGTAAAGTGGTGTGGATTGGCGTGGTACAGTGGTGTGGATTGGCGTGGTATGGTTGTGTGGATTGTCGTGGTACAGTGGTGTGGATTGGCGTGGTACAGTGTCATTGGTATTGGAATGTGGATTGTTTGGTTATTGCATAGATCAATCTGAGGACAGATTTCAGCATTGTGAGAGGAGCAGCATCATTGTGGAACTGTATGACTGTGTGTGTGAAATTGGACAAGTGAATCACTTATTACCTAGGTGTTAGTATTGTATATTGGTGAGTTTAAGTGTAAATATTTACCTGGGTCACTATTTGTATATTTTTATCTGTTTATAAAATTTAAGTAAATTATAATTTACATTTTGAAGGAAAATTTCATATTAATTATGTAATTAATCATGTAATTGTTGATTTATAAGTCTCTAAGTTAAGCAATTATATTCAGTAAGATTTAAGACATACTGTAACAATACATGTTATTACTTTTGTAAGTTGTGTAAAGATAAAGCTTAACAGAGAATATATTTTGCTAGAATTTGTGTTAATATCAAGATTAGATTAATCTAAAGTTACTTAATTATTAATTACAAATAAGATTTCGCTTCAAGTCAAGATAAAGGAATTTTAAGTAATTGATATTTTATTTATTAATTAATTTGGTGACCCAGTACATAATAATTGTATGTATTAGTTAATGCTATAAGGAATGTGAGTATATTTTTTTATGTAAGAATAAATGTAAAGATCTGTAAGAGAAGTTCACAACAAAGCACTTGGTTGAGGTATTTACTGCATGGAGTTATCTTCTCTTTAACAAATATCTATTTCTATAATTCTTCATCATCCATTCATTTTCTCCGTAATATTTGAGTGTAATATATTCAGCAGATTAAGTCGGATTATTGTTTTACGGTAAATCTGGTATTTTGTCGGTTGGTTCATTGTGTTGTTACATTTCGAGCGGGATTTTACTGGTAGTTAGGTGTTCGCAGTGATTTTTGTTTAAAATTTGGAACAGTTATACTATTTATTTTGATTGGTTCTACCAACCTGCTGTGGTCTGTGATTACAATTTGATTTAGAAGTAAATTGTGATTAATTAATTTAAGTTAATATCTGTCATCTTTATAACTAATAGCTGTGATTTGCAGCACATATTTGTTTCCAATTTTCTACAGATAAGATTACAGATTCTCTGTCATCTTTATAACTAATAGCTGTGATTTGCAGCACATATTTGTTTCCAATTTTCTACAGATAAGATTACAGATTGCAGATTACAGATTTACAGATTACAGAAAACAGATACAGATATTTATATGCATAAATTGTTTTTAGGTTACTGAGCTCGATGTGAAGATATATTCTCACAAGCCGTGGAATTAAAGGCATTGACAGGAACACAAGAGGAAATGTTAATGAATGTGTTATACAATGGACTTCGAACAAAACTTAAACAAGCAGCAAACTACAAATTTGAAACAGTGAAGGATTATGACAAGTTTAAAATAGAATTACGGAAAATAGAAAGTAGTCTAGAAGAAGAAAAAGAAAATGACAGTAGAACTAAATGCAACGTAGCTATGAGAGTGGAGCAGAAATCAGAGTTAAGTGAAGTGAAAGAATTATTGGTGAAGATGAATGCTAGAATAGATAAGTTAGAAAAAGAGAAAGAACAGAATACTCAGCCACATTATCAACAACAACAACATGGTTCCAATTATCAACAGAGAGGATATAGGGGAAATTTCAGAAGAAACTTCAATGATAGAGGTAGAGGTCGTAGATCATATCAGCCAACTCGTCCTATTGGTGCAGAGAACATGCTACCTACTTGTTATAAATGCAACAAAAAGGGTCATATAGCCAGGAACTGCCCAAACTAGTGACTGCCTCAATTGTGGGATCGAATAGAGGCAAGGAATATTACTTAGAAGATCCTAAATTAGTCGGACCATCAACAGAAGCTTCAATAGAAATAAATAAGATAAAAACATCAGCATTACTAGACACTGGAAGTTGTATTAGCAGCATAAGTAAAAGTTTTTATGATGAACATTTGAAAGATATACCACTTAATCCTCTGACAGAAATATTAAAGGTAGAATGTGCTGACGGAAGTAACTTGCCATACTTAGGATACATCGAAGCATCTCTTTCAACATTTGGAATTCCACAATCAAAAGAACAACAGTGTTTATTCCTGATAACACCAGAAACTAAATACAGTGAAAAGACACCAGTACTCTTAGGCACAAACATTTTGAATGAATTACTTCAACAATGTTAAGTCAAGTTTACATACGCCTTGGTATCTGACCTTTCGATGTCTTACAATACAACAAAGGGAGTTGAAACGAAACAAAAACAGAATTGCTATCGTACGATCAGCAGAACCGAATTTGATAGTTATTGGACCTAATCAGTCGATAAATGTGAGAGGATATACAGACAAAGAACTGAAATTCCATGATACCTGTGCAATATTACAAGAAACCGATGATACAAACTTACCAGACTTTGTTGTCATTACACCATCAATGATAAACTACAGTTACAAGAAGAATGATGAAATATTTGTGAACATATCAAACATCACGTGTAGTTCTGTTACAATTTCTCCGAAATAAATCATTTGTGAAATACAACCTGTAACCATAGACGAATCAATATTTCAGAAGTTGGAAAATGAACACAAATCAAAAATATTAGATGAAATTCATATCGAATAGAAACTGACAGCAGATGAAACAAAACAGATATATGACCTTCTAGAAGCACACATAGATATTTTTTCAAAAGACGATTCAGACATTGGCAATTGTGAAATGATAAAACATCGCATAGATTTAGTGAATGACATTCCATTCAAACAACGTCGTCGTAGAATACCTCCTGCTATGATTGATGAAGTGAGAAAACATCTTGAACAATTATTGGCTAGTGGAATTATTTCTAAATCAAAATCTCCATGGGCATCAAACATCGTTTTAGTTAGAAAGAAAAATGGAAAACTACGAATGTGTGTTGACTACAGAATGTTAAACAAAAGGACAATAAAAGATGCTTACGCTCTACCCCGAATAGAAGAAATTTTTGATTGTTTAGGCTCGTCAAAGTGTTTCAGTGT